TTGTCCTCACCTCCCATATTTGCTTCAAAATTATGTCAAACTTTCTGCCTCGGCGTACACTGAATCCAAAGGGATCAAGAACAAAGCAAAGTCTATTGCCATCCAGCACTCCTATAACAAGCACTTACTGCTGACTCCTTTCCTTTACTGGTGGTAGTTGTGGAGGTATGAGAACTGCCAGAGGTAATTGGAAGTATGATGTACTGCTGAGCCTCACAGTGATCTAAGAGTAGCTGAGAACATCAGCGTCGTAGTTTTATTGTCTGTCTCCTGGTGTCTATAAATCCCAGCTTTTACTACCTTCGTTTTTATCACGCCAATCAAAGGCTTGAGTGCCCAAGGAATGAATTACCAGATAAATCACTATTTGGAAACATAGCTCTCCCTTTGACAGTGCTGTATTTCTTGTGACATCGTATGCATATTCTACAGTACCACCATGCAAGGCGTCGCAGAAATAGTCCAGATTTCTATGTGATGTCATAACACAGAAGAAGGATGACATTACCTCTGAAGATTGCAACACAACAGTGTAACATGCAGGTGGGTCAAACAGTGTACTGCAGAAAGGAGAGCTGATTAATGTGGGGACAAGGGGGAAGAAGGGAGAGGACAGTCTGCCTCTTAACACAGCTTGGTATGATGAAAAAGTATTTACCTGGCAGTAAGGTTACAAATACTAGTATTGTAACAGGCTTAGTAAGACATTATGGACTTGGTAGGATTAAGTCAAAATGTGGTTTCAAACAAATTAAATACCTAGATCTAAGAAACTGCAGGAACTTCAGAATCTTTTAATTCCCTCTGGGAGAACTAACTTTACATGTAAAAGGTGTCTCTAACAGTAGTCAAAACAGCCTTGAATAGTTATTAAACCTTCCACAGCCCAATACCAAGTTTGTTTTAAAATCCATTAGGATGAATATGGAAAGCATTACCATGGGCAATCCTGAAAGTTAAGTGTATAGCTTTTTTAAAAAGTCCATGGGATCTGGTGCTAGTGTATATGGAAGCATTTAATGCACTTTCTCCATCTGGCACGGGTGACATGCAGGAAGGCTGCAAAATCTAGTGCAAGTTAGATTAATGCATCAAAGAGAAACTAAAGATCATTCTGCAAGTTTTTGGCCATCTGGGAATCAGGACACATGTGTCTGAGAGCATCAAGTGTGACTGACCTCTGGCACTTTTAGCACTTCTTGAAATACATGGGTTTGGACACCAAACTGATCCATTGACAAACTACTGTGCCTTTTACCTGATGTATACTCAATTTTTGAATGTACCATCTAGACAACAGTCTTCAGTTACTAGCCTGAGCATTTTCATGGCTGTGGGAAGCTTGAGTTTCAATCCCCCAGCTAAGATGGAGTTAAGCCCTTTCTGTAGGCTACTGTTTTAACAGCTATGACTTTATGTAAAACGTGGCTCTACCCTTGCAATTTGGAAAGCACTGCAGGCTTTCTGTAAGCCCTTGAGGCACGCTAAGATCATATCTAACAAATTGAGTTCCTTGGCATACTTTGATATAGGGATACTTATCTTTTGAATTTTAAAATGGAGGCAGGTATTCAGGCATCTGTCTCCATCAGTACAGAAGCACTCTGGGAATGCAAAGAACCAGAACTTAAAGCTCCCAAAGAAGGAGCAACCTGAGAGGTTCAAACACATGTTTTCACATCCCAAGATTGTGCTCTGAGTAGCAGGTTAGCACATATAGACCAGGTGATGTTAGATGTCTATGACATTTTAGATAGGTAAAGAATTAGGTATGGGTTGCTTGGATTGTTCTGTTAAATCTAGTTGCCCCTGGAATCCACTGCAGGTACCTAAAGAGGATCTTAGATCTTATCCTTAGCAATTGACCTACACCTTCATGTCTGGAACATTAACAGTGCCTTGGTTTTCAATCTACTTTTTTAATGTCAACTAGTTTATAAGGGAGGTCTTTTACTTGTAGTTTGTTTTTTTTTTTTAAAGGGGAAAAATATGTGTTTCTAGGTTTCACAGTACTTTGTTTTAATCTTTCGATGGAGCTGAGTGTCACATTCTCAGACAGTAACTGCAGAGTACATGAGGATTTGAATTAAACAGAAGCACGTTCAAAGGTAAAAGTTAGGTACCATATTCATCTCTGACTTATGCCTGTGTGTCCTTGTTCACTGTGGTTCTGAAGGCATCCGGTGAAAAACATATAGGAAGGTTTATTAAAAAATTCTCTTTTCCCAGACCAAAATCAAAAGGGAATTTCACAGGAAACTACAGGAAAGAGTTGGGTGTGAAACACTGGGGAAAAGTAGGGCACCATTTTCAGTCTTTTCCTGGAACCATGATGAGATAACGTCAATTACAAAAAAAGATGGAGTTTAACCTAAAAACTTTGACAGTTCTACGAGTTTAAAGCTACTTGGTAAAAAAAGCTGTTGAGTGCTTGAGAGTTTTTTGGTGAGAGCGGAACTGCAAATCAATTACAATAAAGGTAAACTTCACAGTTAAACTTTGGCTTTTTGCTAGGAGCAGCTTAATGTTTTTTGCCTAAAAGCACAAGCCCAGTACACTCGCATGTTAGTGTTGCATGACAGAGCAGAGATATCATGTGGAAAAAAAGTATATGCTTTAAAACTGATTTCCTACTGAAATGGTCCAGGTACTGCCACTATAAAAATACTGCAAGATTTGCCCTTTACTGGAGTGACAATTTCAAAAACTCTTACATTCTCCCCATCAAAAAAGCCTTGGTGTAAAGCCTGTTGAGAATAAAATACCCAGAACTGACTTGAAGGGCTCAATTCTCAGTCCATGTATGCATTGGCATAGATCCCACAGCCTTCAGTCGAAGCCGTGTTGATTTGTGGTAGGTAGCAATGGTTTCTCAGATCTCAGTTCCGAAAGGATTTGAATGCTTCTTGCAACATGCCAGTGAGCATTTATGGCCTCACAGGCAGTGCTCTTGTAGGATCAGGCCTTTCTGAAGATGCTCGAGTCCTGTTTGCTTCTTCAGAAGTCAGATTCTACAAAAAGCTTGGTTTTTTTAATCTTTTACTTTCTATTTCTTCAGTTTTCATTTCATACCATTACACACTTTGACCAGTGCTGTTTCAGGCTGAATAATCCCCTGAGCTGCTTCTGCTTCATCTTTAAATGAAATCGGGTGTGGTTTGGCAACATTTCATAAAATGTGTAATTTGATTCAACATCTTAATGCATTACCTCATACTCGTCCCATTCTAACCACATCTTTGGGCTCGTCTACACTTCGAAGCTCATTCAAATTAAAGGCATGAAGTGAATTTAAAATGCAACAGGTATCCTAGTCACTCCATGTGTATCAGCAATCCAGGACAACTATGGGACAAGGAGACACTGCATTCATTCCACTCCTCGAAAAAAACTTGATGGCATTTGAGCTTCTACCTCTTCCTTCTTTCAAGCTACTTGGGAAAGAAGAGCCCTGAACTCTCTCGTAATCTTTATGTGGAAGGGGTCTAAAAAGGACACAACACAGCCTGCGTCCTATCACAGTTCTGTTCCACCCTTCCTCTCTCTCACAGTCTAAAAGGAGACTGTGGCTAATTTCAGCTAACAAATTCTCTCCTGAGACACAGGCAACGGGCTTGAACTCTCCTGCCTGCTTCCTCCTCACACTGTAGTTTTTGATCTCTTACACTAAAGGCCAAGCTCATTGCAGAAAAGCAAGAGAGTTTGCATCTTCTGGAATTGGTGTTTCATGGGTCCGGACAAACCTCTGACAGGTGCTTGTTGGTGGCTGTGGGAGATGGGATGTAATGACCTGGATTGTCTTGCTCAGTCTGCTATTCCTACTTGCTATGAGTGAACACGCAAAAGAAGCAATTCAGCTTTTGCTTTTCTCTTCGAGGCTTTTAGTAGCTATAAAATCAGACAGTATGAGGTTTATATGGATTTGTGCTTTATACTGAGTAATCTGATTTGGAAAAGTGTTAAAAGCAATATTACGTTGTCTGGGCACGTTTCAAAGAATTCTCAAACCAAGATACTGATGGCAGAGGCATTAGTGAATATTTAGGATAAATCTCACATTCAGATTCCTTGAATTCATAGTTTTCTTCTATTTTTGTTTCTTATTCAGTTAAACAAGCTCAGTATTTTCCAGTATCGCTTTTCAATGATGGAAGAGATCTATTTCTAATTAGCTTTGATCCTGCAGAACATTAACTGGTGCTCCTCTATTTTACCGTCTCTAATGCAAACTTCAGGCAAATAAGGTGTAAAATCCACTGAACAGTACCTAGTGTTGCACAGTTCTTTAGAGATAATGTAAAAAAGGAGTAGGTTTGTTTTACAATTTCCAAAGACAGACAGATTTCCAGTCTCTTAAAAATGTTTCTATTATTCACCTCACCACTTAAATGGGACGAAGCCTGATTCTTTTGTGTTTGTATTTAAAATATACAGGTTGGACTTTTGAAGAAATTGCTACCCTAGCTTTTGTTCACTGCACATATAATTTTTGAAGGGAGAGTACACTTTTTGATAGCTGCAGTTAAGCTGTTATATAACATAACACATCTAACTGCTTGCATTACAGTGACACTTCTTCACCATAACTACATTCATTTTACTTAATGACAACTTTTGCACTCGGATCTAATTATGCAGTCCTAAAAGAAGTGCGTGTATTTTTTTCCAAGTACAATATAAAGTGAGAAAAATATTTCAGCCCATCTGAAAATATTTTCTTAAAGGAGCAAATTAAGTAGACTATGCCAAAAACGTGATTATGAATGGTCTAGCACAGGAAAATAAAATGAAAGCCACTACATTTTTGCACAGATTGGAAAATACTGAGGAATAAAAATAGTCCAATATGAAAAAATGTGTCTTATAAGACAGCTTAAAAAGTACACAGCAGGCACAGGCAGGAACTCGCTGTCAGTGCACTGAAGCCAATGGACATTGCACCATTGACCCTATTGGGTCAGTTATCTTACCTCAAAAGGGAAAATCCTTTGAGTCCTTACCTGTACACTAGTAAGAGTGGTGTATTGATAAGCTTTGACTACCAGGTAATTGGCTTCTATATCTATTATCCCCAGGATCATGTACTTCCACCATCTCCTTTTCAAAATTGCCAGCAAGTTTTCTTCTCCTGTGGTAATAAACAACAAGAAGAATTATGTAAAAGAGTTAGGTTTACATGCACAAAATACCTGCCTGTCAGGTGAAATTACCTACAATATCTCTCACATTTACAGTATGCAGTTGAAAAGCACCATATATAACTAGATATTGCAAGGAGGTGAAGACTAACACAGCCTATTTGTCTCACAGATATTAGAACAGCCAGCTTGCTGAAGCAATATGTGAGGGTCAGGTTGTCACCTCCCTTAAGATGTACACAATGCAGGGAAAAACAAACACAGCTTGGGCAGACTGTAAATGTGTTTTTAGTTTATACACATGCATACATATATATACACATACAAAACACTAAAGACTAGAGCAGCTTATTACATACGTTTATACTTTCCATGCATACTGATAAATGTTGTAACACACATGATGAAAGAGGCTTTTGCCATAAGTGTGAGATTATTAGTATTTGCAAGTATGACGGACTATTAGAGCAGCATCACCTTGGGGCAGATTACAGATCCTGTTCCAAGGATGGTTATTATGATCCTAGTGGTTCAAAATGTCAGACTTGTTTAGAGAAAGGCTGCACTGAGATAAACAGATTTTGCATGACAGGTTGCTCTGCTCCCAGGATCGATTTCTGAAGTAGGTAGGTTTGTTGCCTTCTACGGGAGCCCTGTCAGTCATCCAAGACTTACTTTCTACCACGTGAAGCCTGACAGTACAGTACGGCCTGCAGATCAAACCCACAACTTTCAAAAGGTCAAAGCATTCCTCATGCTAGGCTAGGGATTATTATTGTTGTCCGTTCAAAAGAAACCAGCTCATTAGTGAGAGTGGGCAAACCTGCTACTTATTTGCATTACAGTAAGCTCCAGATGTGGTGGGACCCCACTGTGAAAGGGGTCAGGCAAACCAACAGTGACTGAACACAGTACAACTGGAGGTCTTTGAGAGTCTGTAGCCTAAACAAGGATCTAAGTAGAGTTGACCTGTACTGACAAAGTACCATAAATGGAATTTAAACTGTCTTGAAAGTTTAAAGAAAACCCCACTATTCTTAGATTTGTTCATGTTGCTGCTGCCTTCTAAGTGCCTGTGATCATCAAAATGAGCAGTGAAAAACACAGAAGAAAAGGAACATTATTGTCATTTGCTACCAAAATTTGCTTAGGCTTCCCAGTTCTCCTTCATCATTTTCCATCATCACAAGTACGTTCGGCTCTCTGGTTCAAATAGACTCGGTGACATATGTGCTGCCATACCATCAGAAATGGCAGGCTCTCTGTAGCACAGGAGTGTCTCAGATCTTATAAGATTAAATCACAGAAAAACAGGTAATTACTTCAGAAGTTGATTCAGAAATCTTAGATGTTAAATCTTGGACCCACTGAGTTTCTTGAATGGGTATTTACCTGAAAAAAGCATTTGAATCATCTGACGTTTGTTCATTAACAGATGCTCACACGTACACACTTCCAGTGGGATATTATTAGGCAACAATCTATTTGTTACACTGATAATGACACTGTAAACTGTGCAAAACTGTAAATGCTAAAAAGCTTTCCTTCCTTCCCTTCTTTTCTTCTCTTTCTTTCTGTTTCTCTCAGTTAGCAGCACAAAATAGCAGAAACAAAGTGATCAGTGGACTAATTATTTAAGACCCTAAATAAGGAGTCAGTACATTCAACCACATCACACTTTTCTGTTACCACCAACTCAGAGAAGAACTCACAAAAAAGAAAAACCCACCCTTCAGAAATGAATTATGACTACATTTATGTATGTTATGACGATCTGAGCATGCAGAAAGAGGAACAGTTTAGATCTTAATTTTTAATATATTTAGGGAGGTATTTTCAAAAAAGTATTTGAGGTTAGATGTCCTAATTCCTGCTAAAATCAGTGTACTCTAGTTTTTATGCTGTCCAGAGAATACCTTTAAAACCCCAGCTGGAAAACATTAATGCAATGGAATGGCATGGTTAACATTTCAGAGTGATTTTTCATTTTAATTGTAAAGAGAAAGTTTAAAAATCAAAGACATCAAACTGCAGTCTATGTTACAACAGGGAAAATCCCACATGAATCTCTTTTTATTACAGTAGGACCTTGGAGGTACCTGCAAAGCAGAAAGAAGCAGCTGGCTTAAGAACTGCACTGGCATTAGGTTGCCTGAAAAAGGATTATGGGCACACCTTGAGGACTCTTTTGGTGCCTTTAGTTTGCCAGTGCTTGCTTCCTCCATCTTCAATTTCCAACCAGAGATCGCTGTACTGCTCTGATGTGGCCAAATAAGTTAGCTTTAAAAACAAATGTATGGCCATGACTTCTGGCTAATGGGTAAAGTCAGTGTTTCCAGAGATGGAAATTAAATCTACAATTTTAACTGACACGCATGGTTCTCTCTTTTGCTTTCTCAATCCTTTCTCTGCTAATGACAGAAATAAGAAAAAACATTTAGCAAGTGATATTTTATCTTTGATATACAGCTCTCAGATGCTCCAAACTGCAAAATATCAGGTCCAACTGACAAGTCTGGGCAGAGCAAAAAGCAATGCCAAAACGAATTTATGCAGGCACTGTGCACCTCTGATGAACACTGGTTCAGCTTCACAGCAAGTGTCTTTGTCTCGCCCAGAGGAAAGCAGAGAGATGTACAGGCATTCAGCGTGACGGAAATAAAACAGAGAATTTGTTCCCAGAAAAAAATCTTGTGCAGGAGCTGCATCTTTCTCTGTGGAACCTGCTTAGCCTTTGCTTCCACTCATTTGCTGCATCTCTTGTTACTTAGTGTGTAAGAAAGGTCTGGCTTCCGACCAGGGTCCCTTTGCCCACATTATTATTATTATGGTTTGTCCTTAACATATCAGTTGTGCAGATCTACAAGCATTAGCAAAATTGACAGACCCCATTTGAGGGTATATCTGAGCAAAACAGCAATGCATGTTTAACATTGTTGATCTGGGGATTCTTATTTGTTTGCTGCTATTTCCTTGGCATTCTCATCACAATTCGTAGAAGGGAATGAATCGTTCCTAAAGTGAGAGACTTTCCAGAGAGAAGGGCAGGAGAAAGCTGGTGATTCTGCAGTGAGTGTGAGTCCAATGCTACGGAAGGAAGAGCTAGGTGGAGTCCCGGTTTTGAGATGGGGCTGAAATAAAGCCACCATATTCAAATGTCACACTTTTGCAAGAGTGAACCAGTAGAAGGCAACAGTGGAAGACAGCCTGGAGAAGGCATGGGCTGCCAGCAAGACAGGACCTCTGGACAGCAATCACAGATGGCATCCTCAGTGAATTCATACAACAAGGAGAAGGGAAATGCCAGCTAGAGAGATAAGTGGGAAGCCTTGACTTAACTTGGGAAGACTAAAATGAGAAGCAGAGGGAATCAAGAACTTCATTCAAAAGTCTCCATCCTGAATAGAACTAACATCACCTTTGCATAAAAACAAAGATATCACACCTAAAATAAAAACAAAACAAAAAGAGTGTTTTGAAAATAAACATTATCTGTCACTGAACATAAAGGGAAGATAGTTATGTCAGATCATGTGTTTTTGTTATTATCTCAATAGGACTGTAAGGCTTCCAGCCAGTCATATAAACAAATACTAAACCAGAAAGTGTATAGGTTAGCTTAAAGGCAACATTTCCAGTGAGCCAACAGCACGTAAAGACGTTGGTGAACATGCATTTATGTGAGTGCACAGAGTAATGCCATCTTCAGACAGTGACATCTATTAGAGATGGAGATCCTCTTTCAAAAACTAAACCAAAACCCTAACTTATGTTGGCACTGGAGCTTTTGAAAATGTAAACCCTCATATTCAGTCTAATCCAAATGTAACAGGTTTAAAAACAAATTGCATTTTAAGAATGCTTTAAGATTCAGAAGTCTAACAGACTGTTAACACAGAGAACTACAAACCCCCTCTCTTTACCCTTTCTAGAAGGGTAGGTTTAGATTTTAGATTTTTTACTAATTTTGCAGTTAGACACACATTTGGCAGGTATATATATAGAAGAGCTCTCAGTGCTTGGAAAAAAACTACAGCTTTGCTTCTGCCGGCTCAAATTAAAAATCAACAAATAAGCCGCTTTGTAGAAGAGATGATTTTACATCATGTAATAAGGATTTACCCCTGGGGGGTTACCAAATTAAAAATAAATTAAAGAGAAAATTAAAAGAGGCTTTAGCTGTGCAATGTCTACCAAAAATGTATCTATACATTTGCAAAACCCTTTTTCACATTCACCCACGCAGCCGCAGAGGTACAAAAAAAAAAACAAAAACAAAACACTACAGCCATTAAGACAGCAAATTCCCAATTACTTGTGTATGGGCTTGGGACATAGGCAGAATAACAGCACTGCTAGACCAGAAAACAAGCATATTGCCTCTCTTTCATCAGCTGCAGTCTCTCGTTTTTAATTCAGATGACAACTTGCTATTTAGATCGAGCTCATCAAAGGAGCTGTGCTCTCCTTCTGCTTTACAGAGCTCAGCAGAAGATATCTAAATGTGTGCAGGAGACTCGCAAGGGGGAGGCAGGGCAGAGGGAGGGCTGCCAGGCATGCTAGTCCTCCCCTGCCTCTAACAGGAGCATCAGAGTCAAGTGATACCTGGTAAAGGGGCGAAAGTCTCACAGAGTTTGAAGGTTAGACCCGAATTTACTTATTATCACTTTCTTTGAAAAGGACTCTTGGTTACAAAGCACAATTAAGGGATAATTGTTTCTTTTCTGTTTTCACCTGTTATAGTGAGTCTTGCAGATACAGAAATTCACCAGTAACAACACTGCTTCTCTACAGACTTTGTAGTTGTCATCTGGCCCTGCTGCAGGACCAGGGAAAGGGGGCTGTCAAAAAAAGTGTAGGGGTAACACAGATCTTCTCTGCATTACTACGCCAAGAGGCTCCCATGCCTGAACAATAAAACCTTGCTTGTCTCCTGTTTGGCCAAGTTGCTGGTTCAGGGGACTTAAAGACTGTTGTAGATGGCTTTTAG